TATACTGCGATATCTCAAATATCGTGCCAATTGAATCATGAGGCAGCCTGTGTGCAGCACATTCAGTTGTAGGATATCATAAACGAGAAATTCGCTTGAGTCTCTCGTAAAAACCAAATTTATTTGCAAATGAGTGTAGTCTGAACACAACTGTTCAACCGCGATTGACTGATCAGCAGTGTGATTAAATCCCACTTCGGTAGCACATAGCGCCACTCATCTTTGAATCACAGATGCCACATCACATGTTCATCTACTAACTGACTCTTCGAGTGACCACTTCTCAGATGGAGTTCTCACTCATTTTATGGAATTATTCCTCTGAGCTACTGACGGGTTGATGAGAAGTGCGCAAAAGGATTTCGGTGAACTGTTTAGCCTGTGTTGAGAAATTCGTGAGCGTAACAGTCGGAACGTTAACGTTTGACAAAAGTTGACAAAGTTCCGGAAGAATAAAGTCATGAGCATCCGTGACGAAATCAGCATGCTTTAATTTCGAATATATCAAACAGTGGTCTAGAGAAAACATAAGTGAGAAAACGGCAGTCAAGTCAGTATAAAAACTAGGTATGTTTAGTTCAATACAATCCAACGCAATCTGTGTTTATTCTTGATAGGAATTAACAACAGAATGTTGTAGCGATATCGGGGGTGTATAAACTTAGTTGAGTTGTTCACCGTCACCTACAACATCCTGTAGCTAATGAGCACATTTATATCAGACTAGAGATGATTCGATTTGGCCGGCTTGATGGACCTACTAGGCTAATTTTATTGCAAGGTATCACTAAAGTGTCCTATAGAGGAAGATATTGGTAGCTCAGTTAGCGTAGGTGGCCGTTGGCTTGTTTGCTGAGCGCAGTGGTGCGTAGCTAACCCACCGCTACGCACCAGTACGCTCCCCAATAACGCACCTCGATTGGTGATGAAACGTTTGCAATCAAATTGCCCAGCTCAGCGAACAAGCCAACGACCATCACTAAAGTGCAAATTTTCTTAATCCTGGGGGCAACATTTCAATGCCCGCAGTCGTGGAAGTTTGACAATCGGAGCGACGGATCTTGTTACATCCATCTCATGACCTCCAGCATGAATGACACACTTCATGGACTGTTTTTTTATCTGTCTATTCAATCTTCCCCTGCGAGTTTCATTGAACCAGTGCTCTGAAGGCTCTGCAAGGAGTTTGAAAGATTTAAAGATTTCACTTGCCAGTGAAATTCTCTTTAGACTCTAAAGCATTAGGTGAGTACTTCACATTTTCACCTTTACCATCGGTCTGCATCGAAGAAATCCTGAGGCAGAGGGATTCCAGTTATGCNGAGTTTCATTAAACCAGTGCTCTGAAGGCTCTGCAAGGAGTTTGAAAGATTTAAAGATTTCACTTGCCAGTGAAATTCTCTTTAGACTCTAAAGCATTAGGTGAGTACTTCACATTTTCACCTTTACCATCGGTCTGCATCGAAGAAATCCTGAGGCAGAGGGATTCCAGTTATGCTCTTCGGTGGATACATTGAAAGCCGACACTAAGAGATTGTCGTCTGAACTGTTAGGATTTGTAAACTGTTGTCCTTTGAAGGTTGCAGTCCAAGAGGAAGTCTAGCGGAGTATGGCGACCGGGCATCCGTTACCCGATTGGCCCATCACACTGAACCACTCCGGTGGACACTCATCCACACGGAACAGAACCACGTACGACTCATGCATACCTGTACCATGCGTGCCAAACTATGCGAAATGAGATGCCTCAGTTTAGTTGCTGGCGGTGGTGGCGTAGATATGTGCGGAAATATTTCAGAGAAGTCGTCAGGTCTTGTCCAAGAAAAAGTCCTGCTAATACAACAAAATTAGTGTGACACTGACCGGTGCCTTGGGCATTGATGATAGTGGTTTTGATAATCAGTGAGAAAGCTTGAATCGATGCTTACCTAGTTAGGAGTTTGCTTTGATATTGGTTGTTAAGCAGAAAGCCATCCATTGCAGGCAGTATTTCAAAGAAGGAAATAAGTTTTGACGTACAACAATGTGTGTGTGTGTAGTAATCCTAGTGGTCGACGAAACCGGGCCAGAAGGAGAGACAGCAGTTGTCATAACGGTTCATGTTTTAAGACCCCTACTCGACTCTTCAGCTTGCAAACCGCCGGACCAAACGAACCGTATGTCAGGGGAAGATGCAATCAGACTACAATGATCCGGGGGGTAATTAGCTCGTCTACCACAAACTTATTCCCTCCTGTAATAACCACGGCAGTATTCATTTGACTCACCTACCACAGATAAGAGGACCCTGGGTGAATCATCTGATCTGGGTTCATTTTAATGAATATATGAGGCAACATATATGAAACTAACAGTAGCCGCTGGCTATTTAATTGTTAATGGACCGGCTAGCCAGCCCCATACCCGTTTCCCATGATAGTCTTTATCCAACAGAAGACCCTGCTTTCAACTGAAAAAAACTTGCAGCCATGTTCATTTTTCGAAATCGATTAGAGTCCATATATGACATTGCCGAGTGAAACCCAACAACCAAACTTGGACTCCTGATTACTCATCACTTCACTGGTTATGGAGAAGTACAATTAGATTTTCTCTCCTTACTGCACTCTTTTACAGAGCATGATCATTAAGCGGGCGGACTCCCCGAGCTTCCGTCAACCTTGTTTTATACTCAGTGAGTTTAGTTCGACCGGAAAGCAGTTATCATTTGAAAGTGATCTACAATAGTACCAGAATGGAAATGTCACTAGCAACCGTCACGAGTCCAGACTGTACCGTTGAGGCTTCAGCTCGAAACCAGGGATACGCACCTCGAACGATTTGATGTGATGTGTGGCTTGATAACGCAGAAAACTATCAGTGCTCCATACCCTTCTAAGTAATGAACAACCATCTAGTTAAGAGGAATTTTGCACACTGACACCTAAAGAGGAAGAGATCGGGTAAGAAGGATGATAAACTGAATTGCTGCTGTTAGGGACTTTCCAGAGCAATCACCTTTTCTTAGTGAGAAGATCACTAGATTTGGATTGACGAGCTTTAAAGTACTGAGTTATTTAGGCGAGTTATCAGTGTTATGGACCAAATTGGATTGTCGCAAATGCCTTTTAAAAACGTAATGCAGATCCATCTAAACGAATCACTCATCCCTATTTGACATCCTTGTAAGCAGTGACAAGCAACCCGGTAGTATTTATGACATATAAATGTTTCGTGGAAACTGTCTCTCAGGCATATACACTACTCAAAAAGCAAGTTTTCGTTCTTCCTTAAGGCGCATAATCAACCCGAAGGTCAATAGCTGTTCCAGAGTTAATAGGCCTCACCAGAAATTCGTGTTCAATAAGTCTAATCCTGAGGCGCGGAGAAATAGTGTGATTATAAGTAAAAATGCTAAGCTTTTTTTACTTCCAGTTTTTCTGCTAACAAATCCAATAAGCCAAACATATCGGGTAACAAAGACTGATTAATACATGGAATTAAGATCAGTTCCAAGTCTGAAAATGGATATCAAGATAGAGATCGGTAGATGCCTGAAGAACGCATTTCTAGGTCAGGACCTGTTGCGGCTTGCCACACCGGATGCATTGACCCAGTGTAACGCAAAGTATATTTTTGTGTTTTATACCAACTCTTTGCTTGCACGGTGTTGGCCACGTGTATATGCAAATGCACTGCCCCAATTGTTCATTTTTCAAGCACATGTTGTAATTTTGGAAGCAACCTTTTTTCACACTGTGACTACAGAAAACCTAGCGAGACAGGAAATGAAAACTTACAATTTATGTGAAAGATGTGTATGAATTTGATGATCAGTCTTTGAGCTTTTGATATAAGCAACAAAGCTGAGACCAGAGCACTTCACACTGATGAGGTAAGTGACACTTTCTTTCTCATATGTAAGCATAGTGAGCTAGGAACCGAAAAAATATTAAAGCAAAAGACTATATTCTGACCCACTTTCACCACTTCAATAAAAACACTGCTTGCTCAAGTAAATGAAAAGCTATGTGTTAAATTTCATTAACGTCCATGTGTCTGTTCAAAAAAATAACATCTGAATCCCAGTATGTGATTGGTTACCCTGAGCATTCCCCCACTCGTTCGCTGATTGAACGATCACTGTTTGTGGCAGGCGGTGGATTGTCAGTTTGTTTTTGATCAGTAGAAAATAAAATAATTCGTACAAAACAGCTTCGAGAACAAGGTATTGATTATAGCACATAAGTGCAACAAATAACGAAGTTCACGGACAATTCCCTTTCAGCTAACGACAACAATAATCGATTGTAAGGATCCCAGATCTCTTCTGTTCGGTAAGCTACACTGATCGGTTCATTTTTCCAATAAAGCCTAGGTGTGCCATTATGTATCATTTAAATTTAAGTTTAATTTTATAAAGTGCCACCGGAAAGGAACTGCGTTACTGCTCACCTTTCCAATTTCAGCCGAACGCCCACAAAATGATCTGATCCAAAAATCTTTCGACCATGGCGTCTCAATATGAACGTCAATCAGCAATTCATGACCTCAAGCCAGCTGGATATACCAGCGGTATCAATTTCACTGAAGAACCTGATTCTGCACTGATTTTGCAACGCCAACAAATGCTCCGATCTTACAAATCTGGCAGGTGCCCACGATTCAGGAAGCGACTAAATGCTATGTTCCAAATGCGGCGCTATTACAGAGCTGTGATGGGCCTGACAGGAATAGAAGCGATTCTCGTGTTGATACGTCTGATACTTGAAACGGAGTCTTTACGTTTTCCTGTAAGTTCATGTTCGACATTCTTCATAGGGCACACGAATGATTTTTGAACAGAAAATGACTGATTGGTTATAACTGGTGTCACAGATGACAAATATCAATGCACTTTCAAACGGGGCCTGCTAGATTTTGTACACCACCCAGCCGACTAGGTGGGTCATCTTAAGACATTTGGGGAAAAGCTCAAAATAATCTCAATTTGCGCACATGCAAACACGCACCCAAACTACCTAAACCAGAAGTTGAACGGGATGGCTGGACAGAAAACCTGTGTGGGAATGCAGAGAAACCTACTACAGCTGTCTCATCTCTGATGGGAATGGTCGGCTTGTCTCAGAAAGCCATTATTCATATTCATTATTCATAGGTTGGTAGTTGAACAACACAAAAACGCCTTATTTTTCTCCTTTGGATAAGAATACCCTGGAGGAACCACAAAATTCGCCACTGGACTGAGGGATTGAAAAACCTTAGCACCTTTATCCCTATTAGTCCCCTCTCCGAACATGAGACATCTCTTTTGAAATTCAGAAGCCCAAACACTGCTCGGAATGCCAACCTAACTCTGTCTAATGACTACGTTGACATATCACGTTTAGGTCAGCCAGTTAAATCTAGTTCGCATTTCTGGTACTGGTTAATCTACGTTTTAGTCGAAATCACCGTATACAAGAGGTCTTCCGCGGCTTGTTCTTGTATTACAGTGAATTATTATAGAGATGCCTTTGAGTGTGCGCTGGAAGGTCCGTTGATCGTCCGCATCAACTTCTGTAGCTGATCCAAATATAGTTGAACTGGATTTCCCGGAGACTGTTCAGCTGCGCGTCTGCTGGTTTCTCTGTACTGAAGCCAGTCTCTGGATGATCATTTCGTGAGAGATCGGATACTTTTGTATTTCGAAGGGTAAATGCAAATGTTTCAAAAAAATGTTCGCGGGACGCTGGACAAATAGCCGAGACGCATGCACGTTATGTAATTCGGAATACAGATCGCCGTTACGAACGAGCAGTTTGCTAGATAACATTCTAGACTTGGCTTTCCATAAAGCGTAAACAGCTGTGGTCACTTCAAAGTACTTTCTGAGAGCATCAAGTGCAGTGATTACGGTTTATCCTTAGAACTGAACAAGGACTGGTGGTTGGCATTCAGAAGTGATCATTGTTTTGTTTCTCAGTGTGATGAAAGATTATCCCGACAATTTATTCCACGACACCTTGTTCCAAGTACGCCTTTCGGCCTGGACACCATACAAGGGGGAAACTGATGACTGCGGATATTTTCAGGTAAAAGCATGAGTGCTCCAACAGCTTTATTTACACACTCGAGAAATGATGGCCCCATTTTTTAATAAAGCAGCCAGACCCTTAGTCTTACTGGTAAAAGTGAATTAGACACTTCTGATTCAAAGCGTTACTGAAGAATCTATGGCACCAGGGAGTTAGAATCCGTTCTTTGGAGGTTCGCTTGGAGCGGTTCTGTTTGTTCGCTCTAATTGACGCGCTAACAATTCCACTTGATCATTTGAGTGTGCAAAAATACCGAAGTGCCGACAATTCAAGCTCCTTAAGTAGACTCGAAGAGGTTCGCTTGGAGCGATTCTGTTTGTTCGTTCCAATTGACGCGCTAACAATTCCACTTGATTATTTAAGTGTGCAAAAATACCGAAGTGCCGACAATTCAAGCTCCTTAAGTAGACTCGAAATCAAGACTGTTCAGTTCCGCAGCGCACATTATTACGAATGCTCACACTGTATTCACCTTCCATTCGGTTGGTGGGCATTATCTAAGCAAATGTGTCCACTTGGCGATACTTTTCATCTTGTTCTCTATGACAGATGTAAGTGACAAAATTTCCGAAGGCGAATTGCGTCCTATTTACACTTGGTGGGTATCTGACTGTGACTGCTTAGGTTTGACAGTTTCAAGCCAATCCTCATCAAGAAAGAGTAATGTTCAATATTGTCTATGGACAATGCCGACAGTCGATCACTGGTTTTGGGGCCCTTTTTGGGACTCATAAGTCAGACCTAGTTCCGGACTTTCAACTCTGTGTGTGACCATCACATTGTGCGTTTGCTGCGGCAACCACTTATAAATCAAGTTGACGTTGATGGGAGACTCAACCGAAATCCACCACTGATGAAAGCACGGCAAGGCTTTCAAGTATCTTCACGCAGGCGTATGCATAGTTTCGCTCACTAGATAATGTCTGCGTCGCTGAATTCGATGACCTATATGGCCAAGTGGATAGGACCAAAACTTTTACTCCGATAATCCATAGACGTGTCCGGAATAAAGAGGTAAAAGTGAACTAACTTGGGTTCGTGATGATGGTACAGTGACAAATACTTCTCTGTTTTAGCTATGACCTCCGTGTCTAGGTTAATGGGCGTAAGTAAGCAATTTCTTTTCAGCCAGTGCAAGTGATTAACCTAGATATGAAAGGTTACCAACGTTATTGAAGCATGGTACCCCCTAGCGAGATTATGAGCGCACCTTATCACTCAAGTTGTCTCACTTCGACTGCGTCTGGAAAAAGTGTGTGTGGTCGAAATCGTTTTAAGTATATACCTACTTAGACAGTTTGTAGCCCAAATCGTAGTACAAAGTACAGCAACCCTAAGGATTTATCTGCATTTCGGGGAGACAACAAGATACGAGACTTTACATGCCTTTCTGTCATAATTTTTTTCAGGAAAGGTAATTTTGTCATAGAGCGCCGGAGTGGCTCAGTGCTTAAAGCGCCAATTTAGTGACCTGAAGGTCGGTGGTTCGAACCAAGCCTCTACATCTCCACTAATACTGTCTAGGCTCGGGGAACCTGGGCGTATTGTGGCCCTCGTGCTTCCTCCGGGTGGCAGGGCAGTTAGACGCCGGGGGGTGTTACATCTAAATGACTATTATTCACTATTTTACAGAGCGCCTTACTTGACCCACATAGCATGCATACACATATTCAGAATAGGAAAAAAAGAGGGGAAAACATCTGTCAACTCTAACAGGAATGCTCAATCCTAGTAACCTAATCACCTATGTCAGTGAATTTTACCACCTTGTCGATGTTTTTCTCTTGACTCATTAAGAAACCGCTCAAATGCACTATCCTGGACAGTTAGTTTGAGCCAGGCTACGTTTACCAAGATACTATGTTTTGAAGTTGCCAGACTCCCATTTTAATTTTTCACATCAAGGTTTACCTGCACTGATTAACGTAATACGTGATACCTCTGTTCTTCTACCATACCCTGCAGCCAGGTCACACACAGACTGCCTTGCATAACACCTCCCTCGCCCTCTTGTGTATCAGTCTGCCCACACTGCTACTCTTTGTGATAGAACAACCATTCAAATGGTGGGCTTTTGGATCTCAACGGTTTTGCAAGAGTGTTCTCCTAATCCTGGACTCCGTTGTCTGCATGATCTGTCTGTCTCTAAACATATACAACATCCACAGCAATGTGAATCGCCCGCAGGTTGAGTTGGCATCAGCACGTCAGCTGGAATTGTGTGGGGTGACACATATCACCGGTCCACCCGACACTGGAACAACATTTGCCTTGGTCTCCGGCTTTGTCATCGTCTACCGATTATGGTGTATTTCAGGCTATATTCACAGTGAGTTAGTTATTCATGGCGCATGGTCCATTTTTCTTTCAGGATACTCACCGGCGAATTTAGTACCCTCATTACAACCTAAACAATGAGTTGTCAGATCACAACCGGAAATGAAGCACTGAACTGTTGTACATCATGCGCTGGTGTGGTCAACTTATTGACACAGTGCTGACTAAGTGCAGATCAAATAGCGAGTTTGAATGCTGGTATTGTTTGTTGTGGCATACCCGCCTCCTGGAATGCACATCTCCGCTTGTACGGGCACACCACAACTTGCTAGTCAAACACACTAAAAGACAGTCTCTCTGTAACTAAGATCTTTGGGTGCACACAACTGTAGGCAGAAGCAATTTTATCGAAACCAGCCGGTTAGTCCAGCTGAAATAGTGTGATGACTTAAGCAAACTGGGCGACAGGTTAATATGAATTAAAACGATAAGCGCCACTCTCAGAAAGAAAACTATTTCAGGGTCGATCAGCATCCTTCGCTGCACCATAATGTCCTCTACTGGGGATCACGTGACAGCCGTCTTTCCATTTAAAGTAGGCCGCGTTACAGAGAATGGGTTTTATTGATTTTTTACGTTGGTGAATTTACATCACTCTTTGAAGTATCATCGTATCCGTCTGAACATTCAGCAAAAGACAGAAATTCAAGCATACCAAAGGCTTTTAGCATAACATCGTCTTTTGATGAATTGCGAGTTATCACAAGAACGCGTTTTTGTCTTTTTTGTTAATTTCCCATCACCAACGTCATTTTTTGATTCTAATGCAATTTTCACAGTTATTCGTCACAATTAGTGAGTGTGAAAGATAATTTCTCCTCACTGGCATTTTCTACCTAACTTATAATACCTGGATGAAAACAGAGGTTTAGTTTTCTGGAACAACATACCCCCGACATTTTCTCATGTCAAAAATGCCTAACCTTGAAACACTTGTTTGTTCTTCGTTTTCAGGCGAGATGCCTTAACTTCTTCTGTGATAGAAGAACATGTTGTTGGTCCTGGGTAGCATTGGTGAGCACGCTGTGAGAATCGAAACTGATTAACGGTGTTGTGTTGGGTGAGAATTTTGGTTGAAGATTACATAATCAAATGCGTTCTTGAAGGTCAAACCGACTCACATGTGGGTAGTGCGGATCACCGTCTACTGTAGGCATTAGACTAGGGAAGTATATACCCTAGGGGCATTATGCACTGAGTTGCTTCATAAAAAAGACTCAGTCGATTAGGTGAATTCCGCATGTCTGTAAACGTTTCTAGTAAGTACAGAAGATGCCTTTATTTCCCTTCATTTTGTGGCAGCGAGCCTATTGTTTTACTTTACGGAGTGACGGTCGAGCAGCCAATATCCTGAAAAAGCTAACCAAATGGTTTCCTGCTCCATTTCTCCATAACCGTACCATAGATCTCAAGAAGAAAGAGAGCTTTCCTGAGCTGCTTTCCAAAGATATCCGTTAGATTCTGCGAGAATCAGTGACTGACCAGGTCGGGTAAAGGAACTGTTCACCATCAGGAAGTATTTCCTGATAGATCAGGGGCTGATTAAGCCAAAAATCACAGTAGAAATGCACTTGTTAGGTTTTTTTACGAACTTAGTTCGAAAATGTCGCACAAACTTGGCATTGCATTCTCCAAGTGTCGATGGAGTGTATTGGTCGATTTTATCCGGATGTTTGTCATGTTCATCAAAGATTTACCACCTCTTGCTCAGCATAAGAGTTGATATGATTCTGTTATTGGTGGCTTTTTTAGGTACTAAAGTTTGGGAAAAGTTTTCTTCCTCGAGGACGGGTGTCGGGCACGAAATGACCTCATATATGTGCGCCTAAAGACAAGTGACTTGATTAGTTGGTGGGACTCTTAAAATTGAGCGTATAAGTGTTCGGCGTTTGCAGTAACCGTCCGAGGAGGAACCGTCCATAGAAGGAACACTGGCTTGGAGAGATTGCAATAATGTCTCCTAGATTAAACCCTGAAGTGCTTCGTGCCGTGGTGATGACGATGACTCATTGCGGCTGACTGAAGGCACACAGAGTGGCGAAAATTAGCGTTTTTGATACCTCTTGATCAACTCACAACATGTCCCAGTATTATACAATCATTTGCAAATTAAGGTTTTGGTAACGGGAGACCCATCCAAATCTTCCGTCTCCGATCTTCTACAGCCCAATTGGCTGCACAAAAGACCGTCACATGTTTTATTGGAATAATGTACAATTTTATTGTATTGTACAAAATACCCGCGCATTTTTCTTGACACAACACGACTAATAAGGCTACCGAAAAGTGGTCTTGCATGTCAACAAGACCAGTTTTCAAATGAGTAAGTAAATTCGATTTTGTCCAAGTGGGTATTCAAGTAAAATACAGGGTTGATGAAAAGCCTCGGACCACGCCTAACTAATAATGCACAAGAGGGAACAAAACGATCGAACTTTTACCAACATTGCAAGTGATGTTCCTTTAAAAAGTATCCGGGTGTTCTTTGTAATATATATATATATATATATATATATGATGGACGGTATGACATCAGTGTTCAGCACTGATGCTTCGCTGTCGTAAAACCATGGTTTATTTGAAACTCTTATGGTGAAGAAAAGAACAAAGGCGGACCGGGAAAGGACTTAGTGCTAGCTTACAATGATCATTCCGAGACGCCTACACCTTCAGACACTCATTCAGGCGATATGGATAAAAACTGACAACACGAAAACCATGGAAATCGATAAACAGCATATCTTCCAGGGTCTCCAACCACGTGCAGTGGAGTTCACGCGCTACCCATCCCGGTAGGAGTGTAGCACCGACAGCACTCGAACACTTCATAATATCTATCGAAACCTCTACGCCAGCTCAATAGTTGACCACTTCTCTGCTTGAGACACTTTGAATTGGGCACGGAAAACAGCACACTCTCCGGCAAGCGATGGATAGGCATACACAATACATGACCTAACTAACTCAGCTTTTGGTGCCGGACATACTTCAATGGAAGTTCCTGCTACACAACCGGAAATTTGCTTTCCATGTGCTTCTTTACGGTTTCTCCAACACCAACCCACAGGAGAGACAACGACTGACCTGGAGATGTCTCATTTGTGTTGCTGGAACAGGCCAAGACCAACAAAAAAGCCCGCACTGTAGCTTGATACACACGTCCCTTCAAATTCAGGGATGCACCATTCTGACGCCATAGGTGTCTCAAATTAGCAAGCGCGATCCGACCCTTGCAGATTGGTGCACTGACTTCATCTGTCACACTAACATCAGAACTATTACAACTTGCAAAATATGTAAGAAAGCTCCACAACTTCCAGTGACTCATCCCGGGTTGTAAGTGGCCTACTCAGTGACTGCATGTCCAGGAGCATGACCTTACATTTTTTGGGTACAAAGTGCATACCAAAGGACGGATAACTTTGGTCAGTTCATCCAAAAACATTTGAACTTCTTCTCCTCTTCGAATATGAGAACGACGCGATCTGCATATTCCAGATCGACAAGGTTTTCGCTAGGGGCTATTTGAACACCGGGGTTTTCAAGACCTTCCATCGGTTGCCCCACTTTCTCATCGATCAAGAAATCAAATGAGAAAGGAAAGAGAGTGAGCTCCATTGACAGACACCGCTTTGTGTACGGAAGCTTTTGGAGAGCTTTCCGCATATATAATAGAGTGACATCTTGTATACACGATCAAGTTTAACCGTTTAAACTTATAGTTCACTGTATATCACTGTAGTTCGGAACAGTAGCCTTCCGGAGAGGAGTCAAATACTATCTCTTAGCTATGAGTGAATTCTCAATACGAGATTAGATTGAATCGCCGTTTATACATCGACAGTACAAGTTCAAAACAGTTGCTTTCGGTATGACCATTCCGATTCTAAAAGGAAATAGAAATCGATGAGATTTTGCCGTACTGGAGTTGATCATCAACATTTAGTGTATAAAAACGGCACTTGAGGTAGCATGACAACAGGTGGCAACAGCAGTTCGAAAGAGACAGTCTAGCCCCCAATTTGAATCTGAATTCCAACTAAAATCTGATGTTAGACAGCATAAAGCTGAGCTTCAGTCAGTTCCAAAAAATAGAATATATAGTGGAAAATATTCGAGTTTAGCTACATAATGCTTTTTGCTGGTATCGCAACCTATTCTGTGGGCATGGCACCTTTGGTCGCCCTGGCTGTTGGTGTACCTGGTGCTCCGTAATGACAAGGCACTTTACAGTGAACTGCATGTTTAAAATCGGCCACTCCAATCAATACTGTCAACATAACTTAGTGATAGTGCCTGTTTTAATTCATCTGAAAGTAGTGCTTATTGACAATTCACCATAAACTAACAGAGGACTCAAATGATTTTTTATTGATCTGTTCCAAAGTTTAGTATGTCCTCAAATGAGTGATATTTTGAGGTACTAAGGTGAGAACAATTTGGAAGACCCCAGTAATCCATCCAAAAAAGGGTAACATAGAAACGTGTTGTGTCGTGAATGACCATGTATTGGTTACGCCTGCACTGAGCCTGCCGGACTACGCGATAAGGAGAAGACAGAGGACTGTATTGTCGGGACAAAACACAGAGCTGCTGCGTAAATATATTGGATGACTAAATGGCCAAATATGGCCGTTGACTTGTTCGTTCTGTACAGCCAATGGCGGTGTTCCGGTCGTGAATAATGTCAGCCCCACTCCACTGGTCTTATGTTGCTAAGCCGTGTTTGGTGGGCTCCGCCAACGCATCTGCTTTCCGAACGTGTCGTACCGATGGTGACCTTGGGGATGCGTCACTCTCTGCAATTGTAATTTTTCCATGTCTGGGCCCGTCCTGACAAAACGGGGTTTCACAGTCTTCTTGGAATTTTTATTTTCAACCCTGGATAGTGGTGAATGCTACTGATTCACGCAAAGCAACGGAAATCAAGGAAGAAAAATGAGGTCCAATTAAAATTCCTGATCCTGGGAAAACATGGAATGTTTTGCAACTCTTACCTAGGCGTGGGAGAAGGTACAATCATACTTGATAGCTATCACATGAAAGGAAATGGTATTCATTTAACGCACAACTGCTTGTCCATAGCACCAGTTACTCCAAACGGAATATTCATTGCGTTTGCAGACTTCATGCTCCTTTAAAATCGATTGCGGTCATTTTTCTCCCGAATGTTTTGATGTCAGTTTACGCCCTCACTCCTGATAATTTCACCTGCCTCTATAGCTCCAAACTCTTTGACTTGACCCTTTAAGTTAAAGATGTTAATTCCTTCCGGCTTTGAGATTTGTTCGAATTTTGACTGCAAATGCGTGAGAATTCGGTATACTTCAGAGTCTCCTGACCTCTGGAAGTATTGAGAGCTGTTAGTAGCTAGATTCCCTATGTATAAGCCCATTAAAAATTGTCACTGTCTTGTTTTCGGCTGGCTGGTGTCTAAGCAGGCTTCTGTTGCATTTTCAAGGAAAGCTATACCGAAGATCGTAGTACAATTTGTCAGCAATGCTTGGAAGGTGAAGTACCGTAGAAACTGAACCACTCCCAAGGGATACAAAGAGCCTCCTTTCTCTTGATGTCTCTGGAAGGTGAATGCCCTAATGACTAGTAAGGACTCAAAAAAGGCGACTTTTACCCACTTGTAAGGAGGTATCGGTGACAAACCGACGAGTGCTCGTACACCGTACACACATACATCTGACTGATATTTCAACTGTACTTTCACATATTCATCTGTCGCCTAATTTACCTGAATTGCTCAGACTACTACAAAGCTACTCTCATAACATACAGTCAGACTTCGTTTTGATTTATTATGGTGGAACACAAACTCAGATGGTTGTCTGGCTTCGCTAACATCTGCAGGCACTTCTCTTTTAAAATCGCGATAGTTTAGCTTGAATGCGCATAACTGAACAGAAGAATATCATGAACGAGGGATTCACCTGATTCTCCCGTGTAAACCAAATCGATATGCAAACGAAAGTATTTGTCGTAAACGGTAGGTTGTTTCCCTTGGGGGTGAAAAGCATCCAGCGGAGTCTCGCAGCCTACTAGCGATTATTCCTTATTGGAATCTTGTGGGGGACTCCAGGATTGAGCACAACCCTTCGCAAAGAACGCTGTGTTTGGGATACTCACCGGAAGTGTCGCCCAAATTATCGATCACTTAGCAGATAAGCTCACTCTGTAAACTTCCTCGAAAATAAATTGGCAACCTTTATGTCTGTTTGTCAAAACCAAACCTATGACTGAAGCCAAACACCTTTTGAAGGCCAGTGTAAAAGCGGGGGTTGTCGCAACAACAGCCTAAGACAGACAAAGGCTCCTCTGTGAACTCGAATTTGTGGAAGATACATTCTAATTCCACCCACTTGTTCTGCTGTGTACATCCATGTGGCCAGTCTTCTTACACTTTAGATCTACCCATCAACTATCCTCTAAACCAAATCTACGAGGAGTACCCCTCCCCCTTTTCGACACGTTTACACGAGGTGTTTAGTTAACACGGTATGACACTTAGCAGTCCAGATTTAGTCTGAAGCCATATGATGTGACCAATGACCGGTGTGACAAAATCCTAGTAGGCTGCACCAACCTGTCGAACTGATTAGTGAATTGCACGGACCAGCCTTGCTATGTGGATGATCATAAATCGCCAAACCAGCGTGAAAGAGATCTGTGTTCCTGTCCCACAGGCTATATATGCGTTGAATACCAACCAATTAAGGCCATATGTTAGCCGTCCATATTTCTACGCCCAGTTGACCTTGGATATTCATACCGCAAAGACGTGAGTTTACCTCATCTGTTGTGGCGATCAAAGTAACTTGATTCCGACCTCGTGGGTGCACGTCCGTTGAGATGTTACTGGACATGTCATGGAGGTTCGAAAAGATAGTCTCGCGCGAGTGAGGTACATAAATAGCCAATCACCACAAATCCCCCAGTAGACAAGAACTGGTACGGACTTCTCAGGGCATCTTCTTAGAATACTTGCAATTTATTCTTGGTTACGCTTTTAGCCGTTATTTTCTGAGTGTTTTTGAGAGCAATCAGTTATGGACTGTGAGGCAACTAGCTAAGTAAATGGACATTTTTAGTAATGAACTGAACTCACATGAACGCGAAACGCACCACTCCAAATAACATCTAATGTTGGAATCCATCACAGAATTCTATTGCATTCACAATGCTGTCCGGATTTGTTTTGGCCTTAAAGACACTTCGTGTCCTCTTTACTTCTATTCTCCCAACATTTCTAACAAAAATGCATGTCTGTACATCAGCTATATAGTAATGAGTAGACGAAAAACCCCGATTAGCTAGGGAGATCATTCTTAAAGTTAAACTGTGGACCTAGTGTTATTGAAAGGGTGAATCTTTCTGTGTCCGCGGTTTCATTCCAGTTTCTGGTCTGGTTGAGACTTCTTTAGACTAGGAGGTCTTTTCTTAGTAAACTGACTACAGTGGCAAGCGCTCCCTACGTATGGTAGTTAGTATAAATTAGACTGTTATTTTGGGCATTGGGAACTTGAGTAGAAACAATGTGAGTCTGATGAACAATAATCCAGAATATCGGTTCGTTTTCCTCTCTGACCGTTTATCTAATAGACTCAAGTGAAACTCAAGTGTCTCACAGAAATACATTAGAGTCTATTGTATGGTGGTGCATCAGACTAAGCCACGTGACCTCCGGCTGTGAGTCATGCATACAAATGTTTCGCGTCTTGCGGATGTACACACGCACACACACACTCATACACACACAATCACATAAGTTTGAGTATGCGGGCCTTCTCAGGTCATCCGAGCTGAATTGAACAGTCTGCGGGTGAAGAAATTCAATCACACCCAGCTTCGAATACAGGAGACCGTCGAATCTTCACGGAAAAGTTGCAAGCAATATTCTACAGTGTTGTGAAGGTGTCGCACTCAAACTCAAACAGTTGGCAAAAATCGTAGGTTTTGGATACTCGTACGATTTGCTTGAAGTGCAATCATACTGGTCACCTGGTATTTCTAACTTCACATAAGAAATTCCTCATCAGACTTGCTTTGACCACGCATTCCAGACGCGAATTCAAGGGATTCAACCATCAGGATGGGGATTTGTCGTATTTTAGCAAGTGTTCGGGCACAGCCGTGTATGTTACGGAAAAACCACGGTTCTTTCTTGATTTTAAAGGAGTTTGAAACTCTCAAAACTGCTCGACGGAGAAGAAGTGTTTTTGACTTGTGAAAACTGCGTCTTGGTCTTTATTTGTGCGTGTCTAGTAGTCAGCGTCTACGAATAATTTTCACAACTGATGCGGTTCAATAGGACCGTTGAATTTTCGTTCAGATCGTACCACATAACGAACAGTTGAATCACTGCAAATTTAGGGCCCAAAATCGTGCGTTGGCAAAGTGACCGCAGGTTTTGAATACTCTGATGAAAGTTATCCGGCACATTCTACTTTTGTGAAATTGTTGACATCTTGCTCACCCTCCACGTATAAAGTCCTACTAAGAATTTTCCATGTCACCTGTGGTTTTGAAACACCAAAGTAAATTTTCTCGTCGGCTGTCGTATCCTTGCAGTTCGGTGAACTACAACAGATAGAGACATTTCTGGGGGGGCTATCACGAGCAACATTCGCCTTCTTCAGTTTGCGATGTTTCAATAGAGTGGTCTCGGAGACAGCCTGCTCTGATTGTTAGTCTTGGCCGTTATTTTCAAGACTTTAATGATGGCGTTATATCCCGTCTCACTGCAAGTCAGCCAGTCCCTTCGGTCCCCAACTGCTAGCCGGGACGTTGCTAGTTTGAACCGCCCTGGGGATTGGTGAGGTGCGCAGTGTGATAATTCCTAACAAGGGTGAAGCGATGGTACAGTATATCTCCAATTTCCGGTTTAGAATGACTTCGCTTACACAACGGAAGATTGCGTGTAAACTCCCAGATCTTTCCACCTTGTCGGTATCTTTCGAACATTTTATCACTAGGGTATTTGTGGTTTAAACATGCCCTTTGGGTGGGGGTACGTCTCAAACGCACGGATGTTTTGAGCGAATAATTACTGATCGTACCAAATCAGGCACATCATACATGGTGGTCAAAACGTATAGCTTGACTACAAGACCGCCACCAACCAAAGTGAACGTTTTTTTGCTTCAATCCATTTTGCGAAAGATTCCAAAGGAGCAATGTAAGAGCTGTTGCATAAGAGCAAAACGAAAGAGCTACTACCCAACTGAGCTCTCTAAGATATTCACGCCTTGTTGTGGCTGAGCTTGCACGTGACTGAAAGTCACACGGATAATCGAACATCATTGATCCCTTTGGTAAGCTTGCTGTTGCGACTTACCTGGAGTATCTAGCTACCGTTATGCATTGATTGAGGTTAAAACTAGTTACTAGGTTACTAATGGAGCCGCTTTCCAGCAAGATGTTTACCTCAGCGACATTTAGAGGGACAGGTAATTTCTTCCATTAACTCTTTTTTCTTGCAAGGGAGCTCTCCTTCTCGTGGGTATAAGGCAGTTAGGCAACAATATTGTTACTACCAAAGATGGTAATGTTCATGATGAAGATAATACCCCACCTTGTAAAACGAACCTCCACTCGCATAATGCAGGACTCGAGTTTAAAAAAAATACATTTTTGTCTTTGGCATTTCAGAATCAATCTTGAAAGCCACCCGGGACCTGGCACAAAAGCTGTTAGCCGCTCAGCACGCACGTGACGACGCGGAACTTCGTTTTGGTCAATTGCAACTGCTGTTGCGTGAACAGCGACAGACCGCACGTACTCCGGCTCCGAATTCCAGTAGTCTCAGCTCAAGCAATCGAACTCCTGCGAAGCGACCTACACTGAACGGACGAAATCAACAAGAATCGGGACAACCTGTTTAGCTGTTGAAAAAATAGCTTGATTAAAACAAAGCTTACATCAAATTGTTCAATCTTGTACAGTCGCTAATGAATTTTTCTTAATTTTATCTTACAAAGCAGTAGGGTTGTGCTTGAAGTTTCACTCCTGAATAAAATTCGGCAGTTTTCACTTCCAAACTCTTCAGTGTGCTATCAGAAATTTTCATTTGAAAACATGAATTACGAAGTGTGAAACCTTCTCCACTGGCAGTTTTGGTTTCCAATTTGAAGAACGAACATCAGAGCCCAAGAATTTGGTTTTTGCACAGTCATATCTCGCGGCGGTTCCTACAAGATATCAAACCAATTTGTATAAAATTTTACAACCTATTGCGATTTCGCAGCCTTGTGAGCCTTGTATAGCTAATCTGTTTTTGTGCTTTCGATACAAATGTTTGATACCAGAAATAAGCCAACGGGAGTGACTCGCACCAATTAACTCAAATGGGATAAAAAATCAACGGATTCTGAGTGGAAGTTCGGCTTCACAGATGGAACAAACCCTGAAAATTTCGGTTTGGTTCATCACCCAACAAGACAAAGAAAGAACTGTACCTCTAAAAAAGCTAAAAACCTAATAGTTTCATTATCCTTCAGTCTGAATGAAAGCCCTGTAAATTGCATCGTCTCTCTGGGCAAGGCACACCAGATCGAGCCACGGTTCTACCAGATGTTGCAGGTCACATCTGACAGCCTCTGTAGTTCACTTCTTACTCACTAGCTGTTCGTACTTTCAATCCACCCTATTCACCTAGAGGAAGCCGAGTTAACTTACTTCAAGTTTATACAGCTTACACGTGGTCCTAGACAAGGTAGAAAAAAGGGGCACAAACAGTGATCCGTTTGTAATCTTTCCATGAACAGTAAAAGCAAACCCATTTTGGCTACGCGTATTCCGTCTCAATAACCATGGCGGGCTTTGAGTGCATTGCTTCGGTTTACCGTAATTCGAGCAAATACTCAACCAACCCATTTTTATTCAGTTATTCATTACATTCAGTGAGTCCTGAAATGCAGAACAACATTGCATGTATATGGACATAGTAAATAGAATCGGAGTCGAAGACAAACAGTTGCTGCAGTTGGAATTCAAACGAAAAGACTTGGCTCGGCCTCGGAAGGGATTTAGTTCTGCTATTTGTATCCATAAGATGTCTTTCTCATTTAACTCTCTTCAAAATCTCCGGTATTATCTTGGAAACCAATCAGATGTATGTTTCCTTCGCCTAAATTCTTGATATTGACCAGGTTTCCACACGAGTCGCATATATAAGTGTCACCTTACTTTTTGCAGATTAGCCACGAAGCAGTCAAAATCAAAACGCCGAAAAGCGCATATTTCATATCACTTTGGCGGCTGGGCTTGAGCAAGCCATCTGCTTGTCATGTTTTTCTACAGACAAACAACACATTGCCTTTGTACAACCGATGAACAAAACATATCAATGTGAGGTTTCGACCTCACACAAACAACGGTTTTCAGTGGTCGAAATCTCAAATGAGTGCGTGGTTACTTGTGTATGTGCGTGTGTGTGCAGACAGATCTCAGTTAGTCATCGAAAATTAAATATTCGACATAAAACTAGGCGGATCTCAGTTGTCACGCTCGCCTTGTAAGTCGAATGCCTCGTGTTCAGCTCCCACGACGGCCAGAGATATGCACAGCTGGCGAATTTTAATAAGAGCGAAACTCGAGTTCAGTGCTTCCCATGTTTGGTTGGAATCGAGTCGGACTGGTTGGACTGGACTGGACTCTGGTTTGACTCGCCAGAATAATCGCTATGGGGTGATAGTATGGCTGCTTTAACGAAAGTTACCCAACTTGTTTCACACAGCATGTCGTCCTCAGCATACTAAAACGGATCACAATTCCTCCAACTTCGTTCTCTGACTACTAATAAGTAGCCAGGGTTAATGCGCAAGGCTTGATAGGCTCTCTTCCTGTGATTGGTCAGGACGTCACTAGCAAATCGACTGGGAGTAAGATGAAGGTGTTTGCTTGGTACCTGAAGATAATGCAATCGCTGATAATTTTAGGGGTAGAATAGGCGTTGCTTACTTCAGTGGAGGAAGAAAATACAATATATGATATAATAGAACATTTATATAATACAATATGACCATGTATGATATGATTTGGTCATACTATAACATAATATAATATAATACTATATAATTATAATATAATGTAATGTAATATAATATGATATAATATAATATAATATAATATAATATAATATAATATAATATAATATAATATAATATAATATATAATGCAACTAAATAACGACATTTCACTTTTAATGGAGTTATAGGAATTCACAAGCAGTTAACATCATTCTACTGCCGACCATCATCACCCCACAATTTGATAGAGTGAAACAAGCGAATACCAAAAACTCCATAGTACAATTAATGTATAATTTCACGATAATGGTGGGAAGCAAATGTTATCTCAAACGATATGCCATTGGAAGAC